ACATAGCAAAAGATTATAGAATAAAAATTCCAAAATTTGAGGTAAATATGGTCGAAAAATCCTTTCAAACCTTTCAAACCACCAAAGGAAAAACAATTGAGTTAATTCATCCCCCTGAGACTAGCTTACAGCTTAAAGGAGAAAAATTAGGGGAGAAAATTGAAATTAGAGCCTCACCTCTCAAGATAGGACCCAAAGAAAGCGACCATAATATGGCTAAGCTTGATGGAATACCTCATATTATTGAACAAAATAACTATACAAATATTTTCCTTCAAACAATAAGAAAGCAGACTACAAGAATAGAAAATGCAGTAAACAAATTAAAACCAACTCCTGAACTCAGAAGTTTTGAAAAACAAAAGGAAGCCGTCCTATTCAAACCTCCTCCAACTATTGAAGTAGGAAAATTCAGCCTGCAAGGAATAAAGAAAAAAGAGAAAAATAATGAGTTAATTGATGAGCTGGTCAAAAAATTAAAGAAATTAACCATTGATGAAAAGGGAAAGGGCCAGTCTTTTGCCATAAACGAAGGAAATATTCAGGTTTTGCAAAAGGCACATGACAAAGAAATTGAAGACATGGAAAAAGTTTTTAAAACTGAAAACTTAGATATAAATAAAATAGACTATGGGAAAATGGTAAGACCAGTGTCCCAAACTAGAATGTACTATCCTAGACCTACACGAATAGATCTACGGATAGAGGAAGATCTAATCTCCACCTCGGTCTCTTATTCAGGAAAATCCAAAGTAAATTAGATTATAGATGGCATGGCTAAAAACCAAATCCTAGATCTCATGAAACATATGACTATGTATGCTACCGCCTGCAAGGCAAGTGGAAACCAAGATCATGAGAGAGTCAAAGCCATAATATGTGGATTTACATGAAAGTTAAAGGGATGGTGGGATTTCCATATAGATGAAGAATAAAAAAACCAAATATTAAATGCTTCAAAACAATGGATAGTTAAAAGAGAAGATAGCCAAGCTAATATAGTGCAAGAAGGAGACGTAATCAATACATTGATATATACCATCACTCTCCATTTTGTAGGAAGTACTGCTTTGCTAGCAGCAAGGTCTGAATATTTGTTATCAAATCTCAGTTGTCCAACACTCTCTCATTATAAATGGTACAATGATGTATTTTTCTCAAGACTACTATCAAGAGAAAGTAAGTCAGACCATTGGAAAGAAAAATTCATAGTCGGTCTACCATACCTTTTTGCAGAAAAGGTAAAAACAAGGCTTAAAAACAAACAAGGTGGAATTATTCCTTATTCTCTGTATACATTAGGAGAATTATCAGCTAAAATTTGTGCTGAGGGTCTGACTTTATGTACAGACTTGAAACTTAGAAGACATTAGAAAAGCAGAGAATAACGGGCATAAAGGAATTAAATGACTTCTACGAGCAATTTGGATTCAATACTCTACCCCCTTCAAAGCCTTTCCATAAAAGAAAACATTAAAAATTCAGGAAAAGAAAATTTAAACATTATTCAAAAGTAAAAGAAAAATTTTCCAAAAAATTCTTACAAGATAAACTACCTTTTAAACATAGGGGAAAAAGGAAAATCCCTGTCTGTTATAATTGTGGCAAAGTTGGCCATTACAAAAACAAATGTAGGGTTCAAAGAAAATTAACTCTTTAGAAATTGATGATAATATTAAAAAGCAAATATTTGAGATATTCCAAATTGAGGATGAAACCTCTGATTCTTCTGAATCAGACGAAGAAATGTTGATTGGAGAAATAAATGATGAAGATATTATTTTCAGCAGTTCTGATTCGGACTCCGATAATGAAAATAATCCAGAAAAAGAAAAGAAAAATTGCCAATGTGAATTTTACAAGGAAATAATGGATATGATTTGGTTAAGCATCAATACCCTCACAAAAGAAGAAGACTTGATTATAGACCTCATTGAAAAAATATCAGACAGTGGCTAAAAAAGAAGCCTTAATCCAGTACATCAAAATGTCCAAAGCCCCTTCTAGAAAACCCAAGTCTTCTCTTGTCCCAACAAAATAAGATTACAGTTTCCAGGATATTTTGAAAAGGGTACAGAATAAGACATATACATAAAATGAACCTTCAATATCAGAGCTAAAATATGAAATTAATGAAGTCAAAAATGAGTTGATAGCTCTGAAAGAGAGGGTTCAAATCTTAGAATTAACCTAGAATCTTATCAGCGAAGCAATTGAAGAAGAAAATATAGAAGATAAACTTGATAATCTGATCACTGAGTATAATATTCCTTTACCACCTGAGGTTGAAGACACCCTTCCTAAACCAGAAACCTCCAAAGCTGGAATGAATGTAATAGAAAAGGTCCAAAATTGTAAATATGTAAACCTAATAGACAAAATTATAACCTAAAAATGGTTTACAAATATCAAAATCGTAGTTCAAAAGGAATACAGCTTCCAAACTACCACCCTGATAGATTCAAGATCAGACCTAAACTATATTAATGAAGGATTAGTACCAACTAAATACTTCAGCAAGACTACCCAAATCCTTAATATTGCAGATGACAGCAAAATGCTTATAAACTATAAGCTATCAGATACTGCAGTATGCAATAATGGTGTTTGATACGCCACCAGATATACAAAGAGAAGGGAGTAGAGAGAGAGCTGCAGAGAGAGAGGGCTACTTAGGAAAACTCAAGATGGAAACTCCGGATAACTCCCGATGTTTCAAATGAGCGGAGTCCTCCCTCTTTTATGGCTTCTAAAGTTAGGCGGATTTGAAGATGTTTGAAGTCCGCACCGACACAACAGTGAGATTCCTTCGGTTGGGTGATACAGTGGACCGTCGGCTGGTGGCTACAGTAAAATGTTGTCAGCTGGTGGCTACAGTAAGATGTTGTTCACTGATGGCTACAGTAAGATGCTGTCAGCTGTTGGCTACAGCAAGATACTGTCGGCTGGTGGCTACAGTAAGATGTTGTCTGCTGGTGGCTATAGTAAGATGTTGTCGGCTGGGACACGTGTCTTGGATAGATTGGAATCGTTCTGGTCCCCCCTGAATTTTCTTTATTTTGAAGAAAATTCTATTTCGACGCGATCTTCACCGTTCATCGGACTATAATCTTCTCGGTCTTCACTTAGGGTAGAGGGGGACATTATTTCTTTATTATTTTCTATGGCCTCCCAGAGTTTCTTTTTAAACTTTTCTTTGGATAGTTTAGGGTTTTGTTGCTGAAATATTGCAACATATTATGATATTTCTATCTTTTGGGGTGAAGTTGAAGGTATAAACTTCATTTTTATTTTATCTGCATTTAAGGAGTCATTCTTATAATTATCCCACCATTTGATATAGATTTGTCTTTGTAATTCGGGGATTTAATCCCATCTATCCATATCATCTGCTGAGACCTGATACTCCCATTTTAAAATCCAAGGGATCTGATATAAGGTAATAAAATATATGTGGTAGTCTCTTTTTAGACTTTTTCTATTATACTCAAAGAATTTTCTTTGTGAAATTTGCAGTTCTTTTGGTAGTATTTGGTTTGTGGATCCCCATATGGAGAACCAATTTTTAAACCAATTTGAAAAATTATTTGGCTCAGTTATTTTGAACTGAATATACCAGTTATGGGAATTTTTTGTATTATGGTATTAAAATACTTCTTCCCAAGCCTTTATGTATTCATAGTAATGGTAAGATTTAATTTTAAATCCTTTTGTATTCATGATCCTTGGCTTTAAAGGATTCGATCCCCATTCTTTATAAGTAATAACTTTTTTGATTTGGAACTTTGAATATGCTATTTCATTATCATTATTTCTGGAATGATGAACTATAAAAATTGATTACGTTTCTATCAGGATGCATTCGTACCGTTCTCTGCTTCTTTTGCCCATATTAGGATGCATATGATGCTTGAGGTACAAAGCAGCTATTTCAGTCGAATGTTTGGACTGATGCTCATTTTCTATGATCAGCAAGGGAATATATAATGTCTCTAAGTATATAGATTTTGCACTAGGAGTTTGAGTGCTTATTGGTGTTTGGAGGGGAGATATATCAATATCTTAAATTTGCTTCCGTATTAAAGCATTTGGTGTTGATGAAGATGTCAGGGATAATCCTGGACTAGGAACTATGTCCATGATTTATTTTTGGTCTTGCTGGCTCCTTCTGCCCTCCCTGCAAAAATTCTTGGGTCAAGAAGTCAGGCAAATAGTTGAGATTACCATTAATATGCTCAATAGTAAATTCAAAAGCAGAAAGAATACCTTGCCATCTTACAAAGATTTGCTTTGATACGAGATTTTTGACATATTTTTGGATGATATCCTTGGCTGCTTTACAGTCAGTTTTTATGAGGAATGATTGACTAAGCAGATCACTTTGAAATTTTGTAATAGCATGAACGATTCCGAGTATTTCTTTTTTTACTGTTGAATAATTTTGTTGAGCTAGGTTTCAAGTTTTAGAGGTAAATCGGACCAATTTTTTTTTATTATTCACCTTTTGTTTTAACACAGCACCAAATCCTATTTATGAGGCATCTGTTTCTACTGTTTTAAATGCTATAGGACTTGACAGAGCTAGGCATGGTAATTCATTAGCTTTGGTTTTAATTTTTCTTACTGCCTTGGTATGTTCTTCAGTCCATTTTGGAATATTCTTTTTTAACTTTTGGAATAAGGGCTTTGCATCTAAAACCAAATTTTTATAAAAATCCAAAATATAATTTAAACAACCAAAGAATCTTTGCATTTCAGTTTTTCTGATAATTATATCTCGAAATTTGGATGCAAATTCTATTGCTCTATTGATGGGAATAATTCTTCCTTAAAAAATATTATGCCTTAAAAATCTTATTTTTGGCTGGCATAGATTTATTTTTCATGCGGAAACTATTAAGCGAGTATTTTCTAAAGCAAGCATTTTTTATTGCTTTAAGGACCAATTCCGTTTATATATATATATATATATATAATGATTCAATACGCCTGCTCGCGTCTTTGCACCTATATGCCAACGACTATGATTTTCCTTTTCCCCCGATGGAGATCTCGCCGTCGCCAATGAGAGCAGTCGCCATCTGACATTTGCAGGGATGGCTTGAACAATTTCTGGAGGTTACATTTGCAGAGATGGCGACTCTCACTCTCTCTCCACGGCAACTCTCTCTTTCTTCTCACTTCTGCTGTCTCTCCCTCTCTCTCGCTCTTGTTGCCTCTGATCAGCCATGATGACTCTCCACGACAACTCTCTCTCTCTTCTCCAGCTCTCTCTCCCTCTCCCTATGTCTCTCCTGTCTCTCCCTCTCGCTCCGCAGCAACTCTCTCTCTGCTACCCCTCGCTCCACCGAATTCTCTCTCTCTTCTCAATCTATCTTGCACTCTCTAATCTCCCTCTTTGCTGCTGCAAACCTCTATCAGAGATTGGCCAACCCAAACTATCTCGCCCCTCAATCAACCTCCCTCTTTGCTGCCGCATTGCTGTCACCAAAAGCATTTCGCCTCTCACTCAATCTCCCTCTTTCTGCCCCATTGCTGCTGCCTTCTCTCTCTCTCTCTCTCTATCTCTTTTTGTTGCCTTGTTGTTGCCATTGCTGCTGATCCCTTGCTTGATTGGGGCAATCTTTGGGATTTGAGGTTTATCCAAGGTTCAGGTATGCATCTTTGCCCCTTTTTTATTGAAACTATGGTGGGCAATGAAGTGCAGCTTGTCTCATCACTCAAATGGTATTCCACCACCACCTTGTGGATACTAGAGTTCTATGTGAATGTTTTATCGTTTCTGATAGAAAAATGCATTAGTTTCTGGTTCTTAGAGGATGTGAGATGTATCAGAGATGATGCAGGAACAGGGAGAAAGATGGGGTTGGGTTAATTTGATTGCTGGATATATTTGAAACCCAATGATCTAATTTGTGCCTAACTTGGAAAAACTCCATTAGTCAAGTGTTTGTATAATTGCTATGTGTGTGCGTGTACTAGTTGGTCTGGGGTACACATGGATGAATGTGACCCCTGTTATGTTATTTTTAGATATGGAAATTCGTGAAAATTTTTAATTGCAGAGAGTATATGAATGCAGGTTCATGGGGTTATACTGAAGTGCAAATATTTGTATAATTGCTGTGTGTGCGTGCATACTAGTTGGTGTGGGGTAAATATGGATGAATGTGTCTCCTGTCATGTTATTTTTAGAACTGGAGATTCATGAAAAATTTTAATGGCAGAGAGTATATGAATGCAGACTCATGGGGTTATACTGAAATGCAAATGTTTGTATAAGTGCGGAGTGTGCGCGCGTACTAGTTGGTGTGGGGTATATATGGATGAATGTGCCCCTTGTTATGTTATTTTAGAAATGGATATTCGTGAAAAAATTTCATTGCAGAGAGTATATGAATGCGGGTTCATGGGGTTATACTAAAATGTAATCCAGTTTGTTGCTTAAGTATGAGATAGTTATGTTATTCTTTTGTGACATTTGTAATATAGTGTTTTGCTAGAACCACTCAATTGTTTGATTTTTTCAGATAATATTTGCAATCATCTACATATGTGGTTTGGCTTTTTATGTAGGGACAGTTGAAAGATTTATATGGACCCCACCATATCTGTCGGTGCAACATCTTCCCTATGCCCAATTGTAGACAACATGAATGACATGATTGTCACCATGGAGCAGGTTCCTCATCTTATAGAAATGTGAGATGAGGAACATAGCTCATCAACCAAGGGCCTACAAATAGAAGAACCATATATAGGGACGAAGTTTGGTTATGAGAATGAGGCATATGAGTATTATAAGGAGTGTGCATTAGCCAAAGGTTTTGGCGTCCGTAAGGGGACTACCCACAATAAAGATGGTCAAAGGATTAATAGAGAGCTCAATTGTTCTAAGGAAGGGTTTCGTCGAGAGAAAGATCGTGTAGGTGAAAAGGTACACCCTGAATCAAGGTGTGGTTGTATGGCTAGGATGGGCCTAAGTAGAAATGCAAATAATGAGTGGGTTGTGACTAAGATTATTACAAAACAAAATCATGATCTTTTGTCTCCAAGAAAAGCTCGTTTAATTCGCTCACATCGAACATTGTCAGGCGCTGCAAAGTTGATGATAGGTTCAATGAGCTCAGAGGCCAGAAATATTCATGACATTTTCATAGAGCAATCTGGGGGGATTGATAATGTTTATTGTAAACAAAAAGATATGCAAAATGTAATCGCCAACTCCAGAAGAAAACTAAGAGGAGAAGATGGAAGTCTTGTTATGCAATGGCTTTATAAAATGAAAGAATTAAACCAATCTTTTTTTTATAAAGTGAAATTAGATGAAGACAACCACATCCTGAGCGTCTTATGGGTAGATGCCTTTTTTAGAGTTTCGTACCAGTGCTTCTTTGATGTGGCAACTTTTGATACAATATACAAAACAAACACCTAGGGTATGCCATTTGCACTATTCTTGGTGTAAATCACTATCACAGTACAACTTTCTTTGAATTTGCGCTCATTTTAATGAGAATGTCGAATCATTTGTATGGATATTTGAAAATTCGTTAGGAGCTATGGGGGGACATCAGCTTGGAGTTATTCTCACTGATCAAGACCTTACAATTTCGAATCCAGTGAGACGAGTTTTAGACCAAAGTAAGCATCATTATTGTAAATGGCATATACTATCAAAAATTAAAGAAAAAATGTGCCATGTCTTGCGCAGGCATCCAAATTTTTCAGAAACCTTCAGAGGTGTGTGGCTACTAGTGCAACAGTGGAAGAATTTGAATTGGGGTGGAAAAATATGATTGAGAATTATGGCTTGGAAAGTAATGAGTGGCTTACTAGGCTTTATAGTTGTCGCATGCAATGGATCGATGCATATTTGAGTGACACATTTACATCGAGTATGACTTCCACTCAAAAGAGTGAAGAGATGAATAAGCACTTCAAGATGTATGTAGCCTCTTCAACAAGCTTACGTACATTATTAGAAGTGACGACAAAGGTGCAAGATAAGAAGGTGCAAAAGGAAAGGGAAAATGACTTAAGAGACATTAATACTACTCCAATATTGAGAACAACTTCTTTTATTGAGGCCCAGGCAACAAAGATCTATACTCAAAAGATTATGAAGCTATTTGGAGAAGAGGTGCTGAATTGTATTAATTTGATCAGTGAGTCAATTGAGGACAACGGATTGCTTACCACTTTTAAGGTGGCAATACCAAGAAATGAATCTAGACCCTACCTTGCTGAATTCAATTCCAATGACAATAGCGTTTGTTGCAGCTGTCACTTATATGAGATGATGGGTCTTCTTTGTAGGCATGTGTTGAAGGTTTTTATGGTGAAGAATGTATTTGAAATACCCCCACAATACATAATGAGGCATTGAAGAAATGATATAAAAAATGGGGTTTTTATCGATGAGAGTGGCAATCAAATTCAAGAAACATCTCAACTACCACGCTCCATTCGATATAATGAGGTCTATCAGGCAACTCGATACCTCGCCAAGCGTGCTTCAGAGAGTGCAGAGCTCCATGACTTTATAATGGCCATAATGTGTAGCGGAATTTTTCAGGTTGATAGCCGATTCAAGCATAAGGGAGGTCCACAAAATGATGCCACAATCAATTGTAATGCTGAAGAGTATGGCAATGTTGAAGCAAATGCTAAGGTCGATGAGAATGCAGCTAGTTGTAGTGACACACCAATTGAAAGTGAACATTGCTAAAATATCCTTGAGCCTCCACGAGCACGGACAAAGGGAAGACCTACCAATAAAAGAAAGACAGCTCGATCAGAAGGGTGGAAGTCGGAGGAAAATACCAATTAGTCGAAGGAAAAGACCGGGATGTGCAAGGGTAGTGGGCACGACAAAAGAAATTGTTTGTCATTTATTCGTGCAAAGTAATAATGCATAGCATTAGTATCTCTTGAATTTTCATTGTACAAGCTTCTTAATTCTGGATGCAGTAGAGCTTACTTATAATTGTAGAACTTTTAAATGTAATATGAAATGCTAACAGTGTAAATTCATCTTTAGGAGCGCTATGAATTGTAGTGCTTGCTTGCTTGTTGTATAGTGATTGATTATAGGGATTGGTTTCGACGTTGTGGCTATTGCTGAATAACATTAGTATCTCTTGAATTTTCATTGTACAAGCTTCTTAATTCTAGATGTAGTAGAGCTTACTTATAATTGTAGAACTTTTAACTGTAATATGAAATGCTAACAGTGCAAATTCATCTTAAGGAGCATTATGAATTGTAGTGATTGCTTGCTTGTTGTATAGTGATTGATTGTAGGGATTGCTTTTAATGTTGTGGATATTGCTGAATAGCATTAGTATATGTTTCTTTTTGGTTTGAAATGAAAATGCTTGAAAATGCTGTGAAATCTATTTGAAATGAACTCTCTGTTTGTAAGTTGCATACAAGTTTTCTAAGTGTCAATGGTTCATTGGTTTGAAATGAAAATGCTGTGAAATCTTTGTTTCACTGGCATAACACAATTTTCACCCTCGAATAACCAATATTTATGCCTATTTGATCTAGTGAGAAAAATACTACTGTCTTTTCCAACATTTTGGTAGTTCTATTTTGCTGATGGAAATTTTAGTTCGACTCTGACTCTCCTGAGTCTGAATTTCTGAGTGGCAATAGGGGCTATGTTAACAGGCTTCTGAACATTGCATGGAGTGATTGACTCTATGCTATGGACATATTGAAATCAATTCAAGTTGGGTAATAAGTTAGAATTTGTGAGAGGATGTTATCATTCCTTTAGAGGAGAAATAATTTACGATTTTTTATGCCGGTTGGTTTCAGTCAAATTTTCCCAACCAATAGCAGAACATCTTGGAGCATCATGCTCCAAAGAGCTCGATGAAGCAGTCACTCTTGTGGTTTTTTTCTTTAATATTTTTTTGGGATGAAACGTGATTGATCCATATTACACAATCTCTTTGTAAAATGATTGTGCTTTATTTAAGGGTAATGTAGCAATTTTGAAGAGATATGGTTTATGTGGGTGTGTGTAACCCTTTTGGGGTTTTCTTGGGTTTCATTAGTTTTGTTTGCTCGGGGGATGTGGTGCTAAATAACACGTTGTGGATTTCTCATGTACCTGCTGTCTAACCTAGTATAGACCATTGCATATATGGTGTTACCCTGCACTAACATTTGGAAGTGAGCAGCAAGAGATTTCTTTAGATAGCCTTCTCAATATTTAAGTGAGCATCATGCCTTCTTCACCCTTTATCCTCAATATTGAATGTGATTGAGATGCATATCAGCATTCTATAGGTGCATTACTTGTTTGATCTATAGGTACATTATTCAACATTCATTACAAGATGTTAGTATACCATATCCTCAATATTGAATGTGATTGAGATGCGTATCAGCATTCTATAAGTATGTTTTCTTTGTATACCATGCAACAATAGTGGCCAATGATATAGTATGTCATAAATACTTAAAGTGACAAGTTGATTCTATATTTCACAGTTTATCATTGATATTGAATGGCTAATTCTTGCAACAACTATGATTTCAGGTGTTGAAAACCATTCAGTTAGAGGTTCTCAAGGGATGCAAGCTGGTGTCCAGTCGAATTTTCCCAACCAATAGCAGAACAACTAGGAGCATCATGCTCCAAAGAGCTCAATGAAGCAGTCACTCATGTGGTTTTGCTCGATTTAGGGACTGAGAAGGCTCATTGGGCTATACAGCGAAAGAATGGAGGAGGATCCTAAGTCATGTTTTTTTCTTTAGTATTTTTTTTGGGATGAAACATGATTGATCCATGTAACACAATCTCTTTATAAAATGATTGTGCTTTATCTAGGGGTAATGTAGGAATTTTGAAGAGATATAGTTTATGTGGGTATGTGTAACCCTTTTGGGTTTTCTTGGGTTTCCTGAGTTTTGTTTGCTCGGTGGATGTGGTGCTTTGAGATGATGGGAATGTGTAAGCTTGAAGGGAGTAATGAAAACAAAAGTGGGGATGTTTGATTAAATCAGTTTGTAATTGCAAAAGGATTGCTTGATGATGATGCATACACCAGTACATTAGAATGTGATATTGCTCTCCTCTCTCTCTCTCTTTGTATGTGTGTGCGCACTTCACATGTGCATGAACATGCATATTGGGATACTTTAGGATCTCTATTTCAATTGCATGTATAATTAGATATAACTTGAAGTGAAGAGGTGGGAAGCAGGACATAACATATGTGTTTCAATTGTGCTTGGGAAGCAGGAAGGAAGTGTCTAGTAATGGCCCTGGGGAAGTACGTGTGCTCTTCTTCTTTACTTTTCAACAACTAAATATTTTTTTTGAGAGAGAGTTACTTATCAACAACAAAATATCTTCTAATGGTTTTGTGGCTTCCTTCTTCGTAGGCAATTGAGGAAGTGAAGACTGATAGGAATGATAAGCTTTATCAGGATGTGAAGATTTTGAAATATTTTTGTCCATTCAAATGCCATTCACTTTTTTGTCCATTCAATTTTTTTGTCCATTCAAATGCCATTCACATTTTTATCCATTCAAATGCCATTCACATTCAAATCCCATTCAATATTTTTGTCCATTCAAAATGCCATTCATATTCAAATGCCATTCACGTTTTTATCCATTCAAATGCCATTCACATACAAATTCCATTCAATATTTTTGTCCATTCAAATTGTCCATTCAAATGCCATTCACATTTTTCTCCTTTCAAATGCCATTCACATTCAAACTCCATTGAAAATGCCATTCTCATTTTTATCCATTCAAATGCCATTCACATTGAAATCCCATTCTATATTTGTGTCCATTCAAATGCCATTCACATTTTTCTCCTTGCAAATGCCATTCACATTCAAATTCCATTCAAAATGCCATTCACATTTTTATCCATTCAAATGTCATTCACATTCAAATCCCATTCTATATTTTTGTCCATTCAAATGCCATTCACATTCAAATCCCATTCAATAATTTGTCCATTCAAAATGCCATTCACATTCAAATGCCATTCACATTTTTATCCATTCAAATGCCATTCACATACAAATTCCATTCAATATTTTTGTCCATTCAAATGCCATTCACCTGTACAAATCAAAATAACGCACCAACATCGTATCCTAAAAAAATAAAGATTAAAAAAAAATACTAAAATAGATTCCAAGATATCCTAAAGACATAAGGAAATTGACTTTAGAAATAAAACTAAAACAATAATGGGGAACAGATTCAAAGATAGCATACATAAACCTCGGGTGAACCTCAAATCTACTGAAGAATGCTCAATCATCTTTGCAGCAGTGGAGTACAATTTTTTTTAAATTTCAGAAACTTTCTATATTTTAGGTTGTATTTGGAGAGAGAGAGGGGCATAGAGGGAGATTGAGAGAGTGGGGACCCAAAAAGAACTTGATGGAGGTTAATAGCAGAGGAGTCACAAAGGTTTGTTAATCATAAACTTCATGCATACTGACTAAATCTTGGTGTGGTCTCAATTCATTCTTGAAGTTCAATTGAAATTGTAATATATTAATAAATCTTGGTGTGGTCTCAATTCATTCTTAAAGTTCAATTGAAGTTGTAATATATTAATATTGTGTACATAATTGATACGAACATAGTTTTGTTGCTCTGTATCCGTTCACAGGGACACATTGAATGACTGAAAAACCAAACCCCCCAAAACCAAAATGGAACAAACAAAATCAAAATGCAAAGATTAAACAATAGCATACCTGAACCTCGGATGAACCTCAATCTACAGAAGGTTGTCTCAATCGTCTTTGCAGCGGCAATAGAGCATAGAAAATTTGAGAAATTTGAGAAATTTTCAGTGTTCTAGGTTATATTTCTAGAGAGTGAGAGGGGCATAGAGGGAAATCAAGAGAGAGGGGCAGCGAGAGATGTATTGAGAGGGGCAGAGAGCGGTAGCCGGGAGAGAGATTGAGAGAAATGGGTGAGTTTCAAAGAGATTGCCAGGGTTTAAGTGATAGGCCAGTGAAGGAGCAGCAGGAGAGAGAGGTTCCTCAAGTTTGATAGAGAGAGGGTAGGAGAATGGCAGCAGGAGACAGAGGGGTATAAGAAGGAGGAGAGATAGAGGGTGGGAGAGTGGCAGCAGGAGAGATGGAGAGGGGTGGAAGATGGAGAAGAGTGAGAGAAGGTGGGAGAGTGGCAGCAGGAGAGATGGAGAGGGGTGGAAGATGGAGAAGAGTGAGAGAAGGTGGGAGAGTGGCAGCATGAGAGGAAGAGTTAACGGAAAGATTGAGAAGAGAGAAAGAGGGGTAACAGCAGAGAAGAGAGATACCATCGTCGTATGAAGTCCATATACGCGAGGCGTATGAAATCCTTTTCATATATATATATATATATAATGACACTATAAGACCCAACCATATGAGTACGACCCCAAACGATCACCATTAAATCTTGACATAGATCTTTTATCACATAAATGTAGGGTTTGGATTTGGATGAATCGGTTTATTGAGTTTTTTAAAGGGTCTTTGAGAACCTGAAAATCTATTACATAAAAAACAGATTACACGAAAATATTGTTTGGGTACACTTTAATGATAAGAAAATGGAAAAAAATTACCCGAGGTTTTCCCAAAACTATTACGGGCTTGACAGATAATAGGGGGAAAGCTTCAAGCGCATCGCTTTATCCAAAAATCTGATGAATCAAGTACTAATAAAGCAAAAAAAAAAAATTCTTCAGCTAAAACGTGATAACCCCATGTTCCGCAACCAATGGCTTCAGATTTATTTTTTGGGTTCTGCAGCCACAGTTATAGCTATTGTTCCAAAAAATAAATGGATTTGGGTTATTTGCTACGATTAGTCCGTTTATTTTTTTAGCTTTATTTTTTCTTTTTGATTGCTATTGTTTGCTGATAAATTCAAAATAATTGAGTTCACTCACACAAAGTCGTCAAATCAGTGTGCTTGAATTGTTTTTTTTTTTAGAATTTCTTTAAATTAATTTACCTCTTCAATCTCTTCCAATGCCCCAACATAATTTTTCCTCCAATATATCTCATTTAGTCCTAAATCCTTCTAGGTTACTAGTGAAATTTCTCCAAACTTTTTTTTTTCTTTTGAATTTGCCCATGGAAGTTTTTTAGAGAGAGATGATTGAAAAGCTGTAATACAAAAAAATAAAACATAAAAAATATGATGGCTTATCATAATAAAAGTATGTTATTTCAAAGTGTTAACAGCTTGAAAACATGTGATTCCAAGTCAAGACGCAAAGGCATACAAAAGGTGTAGTTAATTCTTATGCCTGATGTAATTATAAAGTTTATGCTACATACTAATAGGGATAAAGTTTAAACTACATAATATTAGGGATTGTACGTTCAATCATGTTTTGGGTATAAAAGCCAAAAAAGAAAAAAAAAAAATTGTTGGTAATGCATTTCCCATATTTCTTTTGGACATAGCCAAACAATAGCAATGTATTTTCCAGGTTGCATGTAAATACTACCCAAACAGTGACAATCCATTTGCAAGTATTATATTATGCAGTAATGTATTACGCTAGTAATATATTTCATATAAAATACATTTTCAAGTATCCAAACGGCACCTAGAGATCTGTGTCAAAAATTTAATAGTTATCTTTTGGGGTCCTACACATATGGGTATGGGAGGTTCTCATAGTGTCGTTAATATATATATATAGGGTAGGTTTTATATGTTTTTCCTACAGCATAGAAGTTCTATCCTTCCCCTTATCCAATCGTCCATTCTGAATGGAAGGCTGAGATTGCCCCTAGCCCAATGTCATGTCTCTACACTATTTTTTTTATTTTTTATTTTTTTTCTATAAACTATTTTGAGACCAAATTTGGATGTCCATTCCTCTATTAAACTCGCACTAGCGAAAAATATAAGAAAAATATTTTCAATAAAATAAAATGACCAAAAAACCCCTGAAAGATTCAAGGGGTAATTTGATCATTATATTTTATCGAAAAATTATTTTTAATATTTTTTATAGGTGCGCCCCAATGAGAAGATGACATGTACCAAATTTTATATTCATACAATTGGTATAAAAAAATTAAAAATAAAATATTTTGAAACGTCGAATTTAAGATCAAACGGTGAGTGGCTCTCTTAATTAAAATTGGATGGCTAGATGATAGGAGAGGATAGAACTTCTATGCTGTAGGGGAAACATAGAAACCTTATATATATATATATATATATATATATATATATATATATATA